GAATCACTCAGGACTCACTAACCCCCTCCCTCCTGTGCTGAATCATAGAGCGAACGAATCACTCACTCACTCACTCACCCCTGTCGCTACCCAATCCGTACCGGAAACCCGATCGGTACCCCGCATGCACAAATCTTACGTCACTTCCTTTCTTTGCCAACATTGCGACATTCAATATATTTGAATGACACGCGCCCAGTTAGCTCTTAGCATTTCTCAACAGCTCTGCCTCCTTGTCGACTACCGGGACATTTAAACAATGAATAATCCGTATCCACAAAAATTTTTGCTTTTCTCCTCAACAGAGAGCGTCCCCCGATTGAACAACAGCGCCGTAAAATAAGAAGAATGGTGCCTAATGACAGAGTTAATAATACAGACTTTGTAATATGTCACGTGAAGATTCAGCAGCCAGATGAAGTGTTTACTGGCAATTGACAGTGATAGCGGACATCATCATCACTATTCCAACAATCCTCTCCACACAGACAAGCATAAACACACTCGACTATCACTAAATCAAATTTAACACACGTTTGTAATGACGCTAATTCAGTTTACAATAGGGTTCATTCGCTCAGTCAGCAGGTGGCGGTATCCTCGTACACTGGGGAGTAAACTGCCATTAAACGAACAGAAGAAGAAGAAAACACCTCTGCACATGCGCAGTAAGGATCGGGAGTCCTGATCCGTAACTATCTTTTTATTTTTTTGTTTTTGTCTACATTATATTAAATGTTTCATTATCGGAAACATTTTAAGAGATACTTGTTATTCTTAACATCTTAACAGATACTCTGACCCGTAACTATCGTAAAACGCTTCGACCGGAAGTAGACACCTTTCGCGCATGCGGGGTACCGATCGGGTTTCCGGTACGGATCGGGTAGTGACAACCCCTCCCTCCTGGCTCACAGCTTCTTCTTCTTCTTGGTTGGCAACCAATGTTAAGGTGCATTACCGCCCCCTGGCTCACAGCTCAGTGGACATTTAGATGAGAAAATATATATTTAACACATTTAAGGAAAATACTAATAAAATAAAAATAAACAAAATAAATGTTTATTAAGCAATTTTGATAGGAAATTGCTTAATTTTAGAAATGTTTTTGCTCTTTTTTTGCTCTATAAAATAGTAGTTTTCTTTTATCATCTTAGCAGTAGGATTTACATGAAAAGAGAAACAAATTAAGTTTGAGTGAAAATGTACATTTTTTGCACTCTCTGGTCAACTGACTGAGTGAATCAAATGACTCAAAAAATCCGATTCACTTTGGTGAGTGACTCATTAAAACTCGATTTAGTAAAAATAATCAAATTTACCATCACAGGTCTCCATTCTCTGACTCTCAGCTGAAGAAGTGTCTATAGAATATATCTCTTGACAGGTTTGTATTCTGATTCTCTTGTTATGCTTTGTTGATTATTATTATAATTCTATGTTTAAGTTTATTCTGGTTTAGGGTTTTGTTCTTAGGTTTTGTGTTGTGCCCTCGTGTTTAGTGTAGGTTTAGTTCAGTGTCAAGTCTGCGTCTTTGTGAATTGTTTCTTGTTTTACTTTGAAGGTCCATGTCTTATGTCAGTGTATTCAGTTTTGTTTCCTCCCATCTCATCAGGTCCAGCTGTGTTGCCCACTTGTGTGTAATTTATTTGTGTATTTAATTCGTGTCAACTCGTGTGGTGATCGCTGGTCCATCTGTGCATCTACCGTGTGTTCTTCCTGCTTTCAACCTTCATGTGCCTTCGCCCCACCACATACCCCTATCGCCAGACTGAGGCCGGGGAGCCATATGGCCGAACCTACTCCCCCCTAAGTGAGCAGGCAAGGGAATCGGCCCGGACCATTGGCGCCCCAGGCCCTGGCCCAGCAACCAGGAAGTGTTCAGGCGCATCCAGCGGTGCTAGGGGCGCCCATTGTTCCTTCAGTGGGCTGGTAATGTACTGTTTATAAGATTGGTGAAACCTGCAGTCAGCTGAGACTGCAGTCACTTGGATGAGTGACGAAATGTTTCTCCCACTGAAAATGCTACATCCAGATGAACAGAATCAACTTTTGGTGAACATCTATGGAGCACTTACACCAGGGGGTCCATTTTTAATTGGCCTGCAAGTAATTTTATAAATAGAATAGAATATGGCCCGCACTTCAACTTTTGCTTGAGTGTATTGCACTTCTTAGTTTTAACACCAGGGGGAGCTGCTGTTGATCAAGGCAGTTGCTCCACCAAAAAGGACAATCACAGAAGAAATTTACCCCCAAGGTACTAAACATGGCAGAACCAAAGAAGCGAAAGGTAGAAAGTAAGTGCAGAAAATTTCAGACACGGTGGGAGAGTGAATATTTCTTCAAAGAATTCAAGGGGAAATGTGTCTGTTTGATCTGCACTGAAACTGGCAGTTATGAAAGAGTATAATGTACAACGTCATTATGAAACCAAACATCAGGCCTATGCATCCTACACTGCAGAAATTAAAGCAAATGGTAGCTGTCCTGCAGGGTCAGCAACAGTATTTTTTTCGTGCTCAAATTGTCCAGGAAAAGGCTCCAGTAGCCAGCGATAAGGTCGCCCAACTCACTGCGAGACATGGCAAGCCTTTTTCAGATGGAGACCTCATAAAACACGGCCTCGTTAAAGTCACCGAAATAATGTGCCTGGAAAAAGTGCTTCAACAACATCAGCATGTCCAGAAATACAGTTGTGCGACGCATTGAAGACTTGTCAGCCAACATTAAACTGCAACTGTGCAGATCTGCTCCTTGATCAAGTGACATTTGTCTGGATTTTTACCACGAGTGGCGATCAGCACCACAGCTGGATGGCCCGATTTACATACCCAGCGCAGCTGATATTAACCAGAATAATTACTGAAATTATTTGCACTCCTGCTATTAAGTCCAGTTCAGTCTGTTAATGTTGATAACGGATTCAAATGAAAGTTAATAGATGTGTTGCTAAGCCTAATAACTTCTATGACAAACTTGAAATGTACCCGTCCCATTTTCCCCTTTATTGTTTTTTTTCTCTGTGCTGTAAATCTTCTGTCTAAGAAGAAATCTGAGGCTGCTGTTCTGAGAATGAGCTACCAAAGCTTTTTCTGAATAAATCAATAAAGATCCATGTGATGAAGGCAGTTTTGTCTTTAATTATATTCAACAATATAACACATTTGACCACTTTTAAGTGATTTTTCTAACTTTAATACAGTAAAGTTAAGGTTATATACCTAATTTCTAGTAACTGGCCCAGCCCCTCCTATATTTTTATGTATGTGGCCCTCAGTGAAAAAAGTTTGGACACCCCTGACTTACACAGTCTATGACTATGGTATACGTTTACATACATTCTTCATTCAAGGTTCTTTATTCGTCACATGCATAGTTATACAAGTATAACACACAGAAAAATGCAACCTGACACGCTCCTCGACTTGTGCAAAAAGGGGGGTGGAGAGAGGAAGAACATTATGTATAATATATAATTATATATAATATATACATTATACATTAGGTCAGAGTTCCCAGTGTGTAATTGTGTGTAAATAATATCAGGCTGATCCTGCCACGATTTGTTCCCCCAGTTCAAATCCCAGACAAACAGTATCCCACAGTTGTTTATGTTTTTGAACCCATTTTGCACAGAGAGGCATTTTTTGAAAAATGTATTGACAGCAATGTTGAATATTATTACACAGGAAAAAAACAACTAGACATAAAATAATTAGACCGTGACGCCTCTGCCTTTCTAAATGGAGGGACAGTAACTGCGTGTGTATATGTTAGGGCTGCCACAAACGACTGTTTTGATAGTCGACTAGTCACCAATTTTTTTTGCGATTAGTCGACTAATCAGATCATGCATCCATTGGACGTAAAACGTACAGCTTATTGCACCAGCAGCATCTGCTCTTATATAACTATCATTAGCTTACAGCTTTAAGTGTTTAAGGTATGTGCTAACTAAAAATAAAGACAAGATGATAGTTTATTAAACTTTTAATGAAATTTGCAGATTGTTTCGGTGAAGTTTAATAAACTCAGCCGTCTGCTCCTTGCTATCTAAAATATAACAGGACACCGGAGTATATTCTCGAGCATCTCACACTTCTGATAATCAGTTGTCTGTGTAAAAACTATAACTTTAATCTCAGCCAAACCGATTTACTCAGGAACAAATAAAATACTAAAACAAGCCAAACAGTAACTTTTTAAGTTATCTGAGTGACTTATATATCATGTTTAACCTGAGTAGCGAAAGACGGCGGTGGGTTTGAAAACAATTTGCCCGGAATCCGGTGTTCTCACCGGCTCTAGTGAGGCTTGGACCCCGGCTAGCTATCGAGCTGGTGGGTAACAGACGTCTCGGAAAACGTCCGAGTACTTTTGAAAATATGTGATGTCTTGATAAACTGAGCAGATATTTGAGGTTTACACGGATACATTCTTGCCTGAAAATATGTTAAACGTGTATTTTGTGACCAAGAAAGAATAATAAGAGTAATATTAAAACTAACTAGCTGCCGCGATTGTTGGAAACTGAGCTGGGTCGCGCTATGAATTCTGGGACACAGCTTCTTCTTCTTCGGGGTTATAACGGTAGCTGGCATCCTTGTACATGCAGTGCTGCCATCTTCTGTTTCAGTCCGTTATTGCACTCTTAAATCCTACTACTTATTCCTGCGTCTTTTATGATCTTACAAAGCTTCAAACGACGCGTCGACTATTAAATTAGTCGTCGCCGATTTTGATAGTTGACGTAATCGTGACTAGTCGACAAATTGTGGCAGCCCTAGTATATGTAAGCGTGTAAAACCAGAAGATAGTCAGATTAACAGTATTTTGTCTCTATCTGCCATTCTGCAATTCATCTCATGTAAACAATAATGTGGTGCACAGCATGACGTAAAAAAAGGCACATACCTTTGACGTTGCGTGACAAACTCTGTATTCCTCGTCCACACGTAACGGAAAAACAAACATTTTTCTTGTGAAACAAAGGGGGGCCTAGCAAAAAAAGTTTGGGAACCGCTGCATTAGGTGATATTATATATAATAATAAATGATAACTATAATATATATAATGTTCGTCCTGATATCTATTGCTACCAATAGAAGTAAAAAATGACAGACAAAAGTTTACATTTTAAAGACAGTGCAGCAGCCACAACAAAACCATTTTTGGTCAACCTTAGTAGTCAGGTCAATACGCACTATCGGAAAAGTTCTGCTTGAGTTAATTTGAAACACAAGGGCTGTGGTGGCCAGAAAGAACATAAGGCGTAGACTGGTACTACTGGTGGCCAACTTGAGATGACATTACTTAAATCTTGGAACCACATTTCACTGGAAAACAAAACAAAACATTATATAATCATCAAGAAATCATAGATAATGTTTTATTGCAAGAAAACGTCATCTGAAATTAAATTGTATTGAAATGAAATGTACTGTATGTATGGATTTGTTTTCTTACCAATGCCGGTTTGCGTAAGGAGAAGAGGCAGTACAAGCAGGAGGACATCCACTGTCACAACTGCTCCGATTATCCATATAATTTTTGATGCTTTGAAAGAGGAGGTTATTTCACATTTTAAAAGGAAACTGTTTAACAGGGTAAAAACACCTTGAAACTTACTATGGCAATGTGACACAGATGGCTCATTCTCAAGAAGCATTTGTTTAATTCGGTTTTTAGTGATTTGGAGCACACAAAAACTTGTTTACACATATGTTCTGTAGGTTACTGTACTGGGAAGGTTACTTTTAAAATTTATTCCATTACAGATTACAGAATACATGTATTTTGTAACATACACCGTTAAGCTACTCAATGACAGTAACGTATTCTGGATACTTTGGATTACTTAATATATTGTCATGCTTTACAACTACAAGAATGTACTATTGCTGTGTGATTTATTACTATTACTGAATGTTACTCTCCATACCAATACCAAATTGATTTTTAAATCTTAATATAAAATGAGTAACATATGACATGACATCAGGTAAGACTGCACTTTTTGCTGTGATCTCGTATAGAAAACTACTTCTGTATCAGTAATATGTTTTTTTTTGTCTGTTAATAATCATGTGGAGTAGCATTCATTAATAGGAATAAAAATCACACAGCAATAGTACATTGAAGATACTGAAGTTTTGCCCATCCCATTCTTCTTATATAGTTGTCTCGGAAATTCCAAGTAAGAAATGCAAATGAGTGTTACCTACAAGCATACTTTAACAGGTAAAATGAAGTGGCAAACCGTCCTGGCTTTATGACTATGAGCTACAAGCATACTCTGATGGGCAAAGTTAAGTGGCAAACCGTCATACCTTCTTAAATTTGCAGAAATGTGCATAAACTAGTTACAGTGGGACGTTTTGCCGAAGTAGGATGGTTGGTCAGAACACCGGTACATGTATTCGGTTACTCACCAACACACACACACACACACACACACACACACACACACATACACATATATATATATGTTCTTTAATAAAAATAGTAAAATTAGGTCTACCTGTCATTCCATCATCAGTTGCTGGATCTGTAAGAGTTGTGTCACCAGCAGTAAAATTGCTCACAGCTGTGAGAGTTACCCCAGGAACAAAAGAAGGGGAGGCTGCCTCTAGTGAGATCCCAGGAGAAATATTTCCTTTAGTGCCTAGAAAGTGTACTTAATCAAACATTAAAAACCACAACAATAAACTTTTATATTCCGTTTTAAAATCTTACCTGTAATTCTGTTTCTTCTTTGGATTTTTATAGAAATAGGAGTAGATGTTGTGAAAATCCTCAAAGTATTCAGGTCTGATGGATTCCTTTTTTTAAAACCTATTTTTTTGTCAAATTATAAAAATCAAAAAGAATTTCTTGACAGCTCATTAAAATTTTCACATTAAGAAACGAATATATGTGTTCACAAAAATCAACTTTTTAAGTCACTTTTAACCCTTTAGAGCCGGTCGGAGCGGGCACGCTCTGTTTTGCGTAACTATTTTTAAATCCCGGTAGTACTGCAACCACGTAAGCTAGCGCAAAGAATTTTTTTGCATATGAAACCGGAGGAGTTGTACTTACATCTTATGCCATCAGCTTGTCCTAGGTCACGGTTTCCTTCCACATAAAGCTTTGCAAAAACTGCATAAAAAGCGCTTGCAGGAACAAAAACATAATATTCCAGAAGCACGCTTTGCCGATCCGATCAGCTGTTCAAAACACTTCCTACGTTGGAATAGACGTCAGCGCGAACTTTTGCATTTCCGCCATTACCTGCCCGAAACCGGAAGTGACGTCATTTTCGCGGAAATGTAGTCTTTTTTACCATCAGGGCCTGAGGGCCTATACTGCTCTTTTTAAAAGTTATGTTTGACTTTATGACTTTCTGTGTCGTTTCTGGGATGCTTAGGACTCATATTGCACTGCTGGAAATTGTTTATTTTGATGCATATGCTGCTTTTTTGCAAATTTGCAGTATAATATTTATTTTCATTTTTCCTGCAGTGTATAAAAATTGGTGTATTTCAAAAATAAAACTATGAAGACACTCAAAATAAATTTCCTGTGGTGGGAAACTATTTTGTGCAACTTTTTTGTATTTACAGTTTTGAGGGATAAGCCTCTTAAATTTCTCTAACTACAAATATATGTTAAAAAAGCAAAAACGATTTTCAATTTTTTTTGTAGTTTATTGCACTTTTTTGCAATTTATGTAATTACTATGCACTTAATGAATACATATTATTAAAATCTGGGCTATAATGGTATTGATGTATAGCAACTTGAAATGCTCCCAAAAATGGCTCCACAGCATGTAAAAATATAATATAAGCTCTGGCGGACTTGGTTCTATGGTAGGTCTTAAAGGGTTAAAAATCTTACCTGTAATTCTGTTTCTTCTTTGGTCTTTCATAGAAATAGGAGCAGATGTGGTGAAAGTGCTCAAAGTAGTCAGATCTGATTGATTTAACAAATGTCAAAATGTGAAATTTAAAAATCCAAAAGATTTTTTTCATAGCTCAATGAAATTTCCACACTAAGGAACTAAGAAATGTATTCAGTGTTATTTGTAAAATAATATCAGAAATTATTTCCAGTCCTGTATGCAGCCGTTTCATTCTAATATGACATTGGCAATGGTAATTTTTATATATAGCATTCATTTCATGTAACTCAATTTGCTTCTTGCAAAAAAGAAAAAAAGAAACATAAAAAAAAAGCCAATGTCGGTATATAACGCCTTACTGCAGCTAAAGCAGTAAAACATAACAAAGTAAAGCAATTCAATCCAGTCTTTAGGTGATGACGTGACGAATCCTCCTTCCGGGCCCAAACTACCCTGCATTTAATAAGGCTTTTGTGTTTTTAAAGTGTTTTAATGCTTTGTATCTTGTTCTACTTAATCTGAACAAGCACCTGAAAACAGTCAGTGACCACTGTCGGCCTCTCTCAGTTTTTATTATCGCTAATAATTTTAAAGCTCAGTTTTTAAAACCTTACGATGTAACTACAGCCCAGACCCAGGAAGCAGTACATTAATGACTAACCTTGTATTGTGGATGAATTATCTCAGTTGTTAACCTGACTGAAGTTTGATCCGTTTACAGCAACCTGCCATGCGATTGCATTTGTCACTGAAGAATCCTAATGTTAACTTTTATCGAGTGGAAAAAAGTTAGCGTTCATCCTCCAGCTTCACTGTTTATATTATGCTAACAGAGCTGTGTCACTAGCGATCACGTAGCACATCATATACCAGCTAGCCAACTTCAGTAACCCTATAATCATCACTTCTGTTTTGTTTTCTGTCTTCATATATGTCAGAAATGATAGCAGAGCTGTACGTCTTAATTTGTTTCAGAAATCTGTCAGTCAGGACATGGTATATTATATTTAGATCAAAGCTGGGGAGCTAACTCCCTGCTAACTTCTAACTCCGTTAAATGTCATATATTAAATTTTTATGGATGCCTGGGTGTTAAACTTAATTGTTACACCTGTTAGAGCAGCCACACTCATCATTTTATTACAAATGAAAGAATTTAGACAGTTTTTCAACTCTGAGTGATGCCACAGTGGACCTGCAGCGGAGTTTGGGCCCAGACAAGGCTAACAACGTCAGACTTAACCCTCTTGGGTGGATGGATGCGCTGGCACGTCAAAATCACATGACCAATTTAAGATGACACAGCAACAAGATGCAGCGACCCAGTTTCCATTTAAACTTTGGTCGAAAGTGTGGCCTTCAAACTATGTACCAGTTTTTTAATTGTTTTGATGGGCCACGTAAAACCAGAGTTATGATAAAAAATACACGCAATGCTTTTTTCTGAACAAAACAGTGGTGTTTACAGCGGGAAGAAGCTAGCAAACACTCTTGGCTTGCAAGTGAAAAAAGAAACACCCCTTTCCTATTGGTGTTGTCAGCCAATCAAAAAAAAATGATATGGCAACATGTGGCATTTGGTTGTTTAGGAAGAGGGGGCAGTTTTAGGAGTGATGCCCGGTGAAAGTGTGCGAGCGAAAGAAAGAGAGAGAGCGAGTTTTCATATGTGAGACATTAGTGACGTTTAGCGTGTTTGGAGGCTATAGTTAGTGTGTTGTGTAGTTATTGTTTTGTATTGTGTGTCAGTTATACTGCTGAATGTCACAGTTGCTCCAAAAAAGCCTCCAAAGGCAGTTTCCAGTCTAAACGCTGTCTCCACATGGAAAACTGGACTGATATATCTCCTGCTGTCAGACCTGCAGGGTTTAGGCCTGTGGTATTCTCCTCTGTCTTATAGTGGACAGACACTATTTTTGGAGTGGCACAAATAATTTGTGTGCCTTCTTATTTGATGCAGAACACCTGATTGTTGTGTAAATAGTTTTAAATGGTTATATAAAAACGCCTGAAGCCTTGGCTGCATTTTGAGATAAATAGTAACATATAAATTGTGCATAATTTTCAGAAATGTACAATTTATATTTGATTTCAAGTTATGAAAATGATTCATTAAACATGTTTGTGGTTTTTACAGTAAAAAATATAACTTTTTTCTATTCGGATTTTAATTTTTTTTCTCTGAATTTAGATCAATTGTGCTAATATAGTATGTCAAAACGAAAAAAAAAACCCCTCCAATTTCAGATATTTGAGGTTGTGCTGAAAATAATGATACCAAACAAGTCAAGATTAACAGTTTTTAAGGGTGAAATATAGAGGTAAAATCAAAAGTAGTCAAAAACTGCAAATTATACCCTGGACCCCAGAGGGTTAAAGACCAGATAGCCCCTTTGAAGTGCAGGCCTGGGAGAATAAAAAAGCTTTTTGTCTATGTTGGATATATTAACAGTTGTAATTGACCTCAGGTCAACAGGCAGATGGTTTAAAATTATCACAATAATTCAAAGCAGGCTCGGCACACATCCAATTCTGGGAACAGTTACAAGAGCTGCACCTCATCAGGTGCAGCTCTTGTAACTGTTCCTGAGAGGTCTAACTGCACTGTAATACTGCACAGTTATTCCTGGTTAATTTAAAATACAGCTGTGTAAAAGTCAGTTTTGGCTTATGTTTTTGGCTTGTAAAACCTAAAACTATATGTGCAGACCATGTGGAAAAACAGTACAGGCACTTACATTGTATACTAATGGAGGATATGATGCTGTGAGGAGACTGGTATTGTCCTCCTTTACGCTCTGTCATGTAAAAACATGCCACTTGAACCTCAGCAGGTGAACTCTGCTGTGCCATAAAGATGATCTCAGTTGCTGTAAGTGTCTGCTGACAAGAGATGGATGTAGATTTTCTTCTTCTCATGAAGTACAAAAAACACTGAGTCACAGAAACAGATGATGGAGTCTGACAGTTCACTGTGACTGAGTCTGTTTCTGTGATCACAGCTGGATTCACTGTCAGTTCAGGCCGAGGAGCTAAAAATGTAAACAGTTGTTGAGTTAAATAACTAAATATTGCTTTTTTCATAAAATAAGATCAACGAGAGAAAATCTTTTGTTAGTTTTACCTTTTATATTAGTCATGAAAAATGTCTTTACACTTCACTTATCCTCCATTTTATGAGCAGCTTTGTATATTAAAGTAATTATTTAGTTAAACATTCTAACATTAGCCCATTGTAAAAAAAAATTTACTCACTCTGTATGATGATTGGTGTCATGTTACTGACTGGAGATTTCTGTATATTAAGGTAATAACAGGTCATTTCAAGTGTAACAGGTGAACTTTGACGTGTCCATGACAGAAATTCAGACCCTGTCAGAGTCTGCAGACAAGGAGCTGCTTTATCAGTTTTATCTCCTGAAATGATGAAATAACACTGAGACACAGGAACAGATGATGGAGTCTGACAGTTCACTGTGACTGACTCTGTCTCTGTGATCATCAGTGGGCTCACTGTCAGTTTAGGTGGATGAAGATCTGGAAGATTCAAGTATATGTTAGATTAATTAAATATATTTTCATACAAATTAGATAATTTACATACAATATTTATGATAGCAGAGTGCACTGAGATATTAGTCATTCCAGCCCATAAGCATTAATAAGCATTACTGAACCATAAACTGTTCATGGTCATTTCTTCACTCACCGATTATGTTGATGGTGGATGGCTCGCTGTCAGGAGATGTACGTTTAAAAGTATACGTTTGTAAAGTGTAAGAACATCTCACTTCAACCTCAGCAGGTAAACTGTTCTGTGCAATCTTCAGCAGCTCAGTCCCTGTCAGTGTCTGCACACAGGAGGAACCTTTGGACAGTTTCTGGCTTGCAATGTAGAAATCACACTGAGACACAGAAACAGATGATGGAGTCTGACAGCTCAGTGTGACTGAGTCCGTCTCTGTGATCAGAGGTGGATGCACATTAATTTCAGGCCAAGGAACTGAAAAAAATGTAAACATTTGTTGAATTGAATAAGCAAATATACAAAAATAATCAATGACAGAAAATGTTTAGGTGGTTTTACTTATTATATTGGTGGTGAAAAATGTTCTCACACCTCACTTATCTTTCATTTGCAGCATTGTATATTGAAGTAATTATTTAGTTACACATTCTAACATTAGCCCATCGTTAAAGTGTTTACTCACTCTGTATGGTGACTGGTGACATGTTACTCAGTGGAGATTTATATATATAAAGATAGTAACAGGTCAGTTCAACTGTAACAGGTGAACGTTGACGTGTCCATGACAGAAATTCAGACCCTGTCAGAGTCTGCAGACAAGAAGCTGTTTTGGCAGTTTTATCTCCTGAAATGATGAAATAACACTGAGAGACAGGAAGAGGATTCTGACAGTTCAGTGTGACTGAGTCTGTCTCTGTGATCATCAGCGGGCTCACTGTCAGTTTAGGTGGACGAAGGTCTGTTAAATAAAATATATGTAAATTTTAATAAGTAAATTTGATGTACATAAAATATTTTTGATAATAGATTTACAATACCAAAGTAAGCATGTAAATGTAAAGTATTTACGTCTATAAATGTTTAACCTATAATGCAAATTTAATTGTCATTTCTTCACTCACTGTTTATGTTGATGGTGGATGGCTCACTGTCAGGAGATGTAAATTTAAAAGTATAAGTTTGTACAGTGTAAGAACATCTCACTTCAACCGCAGCAGGTAAACTCTTCTGTGTGATCTTTAGTAGCTCAGTCGCTGTCAGTGTCTGCACACAGGAGGAACCTTTGGACAGTTTCTGGCTTGCAGTGTAGAAATCACACTGAGACACAGAAACAGATGATGGAGTTTGACAGCTCAGTGTGACTGAGTCCGTCTCTGTGATCGCAGGTGGACTCACGCTCAGTATAGGTGGAACACTGGCTGCAATTTCAGATGTAAATATTTCATGATGAGCTATTGTGGAGACGTTTCAAAGTAACAAAGCAAACAGCTGATACACTGATTAACATAAGTGTGTGCGTCTGTGTGTGTGTATAATTAAATTTATTACACTAACCTTGTGCTTTAATTCCATGAAAATAATCTGTTGAAGTTGAAGAAAACATGTATAATGATATGAATCTTGAATCAATCTTATTATGTATTAAACATAAGTATGCATTAATAATGTATAGTATGTACAAAGCATAATAATAGTAACACCTAACAAAAATATAAACTGAACACATCAAATGTAAGAGCAGAAAAAATGAAAATAAAAGAATTTCACAGGAAGTTTAACTTACAGAGAAGGATAACGAACAGCAGGACTCTAGCCATGATAGCATGAACGACCTGCAGAGCAAACTAACACTAATCTGACGTTCACCAACATTACATGACATAACTTTCTTCCAGGAAATCCAGAATTAACCGTACTAACCAGCCACAGTAACACATTTTTTTAAAACCCTCGGCCCATGTAACTATGATATATTTAGATAAGCGCTGCCCCAGTGTTGAAATATAAACAGTTTATATTTCTCTTGCTTTGCTGTTACATCTTTTACACTGTACAACCTCATTAGTTCCCAGAACTTAAAAAAACTATGCAAACTCGTTGCCTCAACTAAGTAAAGCTTACTTAAGATGACTATGTTAGGACAACTTATTCATTGTAAGTATACAGTACTAAGAATAGCTTGATGTTTCTGACTGTGCAGTACTAACTTCACCTGATGTTTTATCATCTTTGAAATTTCTAGCAAAGCACTTATATTAATATAACACTGTATGCAAGTATGATTATAAAAAGAATGACTTACAACACTTGTTTTAATGGTGTTAAAATCAGCCCAACTTTTATTTTCAAATGCAAAAAAGTACATCAGCCAACATACTGGACACTGTTTTGCTGAACAACAACTATATTGCCATCACTGTTATAATCTTACAATGAAACAAAGTCAAAGATGTAATTATTCCTAAAACTATGTTTAAGCTTTCCACAATTTTGTTTTGCAAGCTACATTACTTATATAATCAAAATAAAATGTATTTATTGTTCAGTCACGAGTGCAGTCTCTAGTTTAAACAACACATTTGTTTTGCATTCAAACACAGAAGCTGGTATGTTGTAATATTTTAAAGACTATTTGTTTCCAGTCCAGGCATTGCTGCCTGAATGTCTGTAATGGATTTAGGTGATCTAAATGTAAGTTCAGAAGAAAGTCTTTAACATTGTCCCATCTTCCCTTAAGTACAGTGGCAGTGGATGTGGGATGGAGATGCAATGAGCTTAACCCTGCAAGTGACCATTTTCACTGACCACACCATCTGTGACGGAGGACTCATCTCTCCTGGTGGCCTGCAAGCCACAATATGATCTTTGAAGAAATGCAGACCAAACTGTTGTTGTTTGTTTACTTACACAGCATGTCTTGTAGAATTAACTCCCGACCCAAAAAGAAGCAAGCAGAGGGAGAAAAACCATAAAATTATTTAGAAGCTGATTTGATCCTTAATGGCTTTTCAACTGTTATATCTAACAACACACAAGGTCAATGTTGACCTCGTACTACCAAATTAGACTAGCACATATCGTATTAAAACCACCATCTACACCATCTACTACCGTGTCTGAATGTGTGGTATTGCCTCTGTCAGATACATGTTTAAAAATATGACCATCTGATTTAAATATAATCATTACATGCTTGTTAAAATCTAACTTCAAATATATAAAGTTTCTCCACAGATGTTCAAAAGCAAACACAAAGCATTAAAATAAATACAGGGGTTAAGAATATATAGTTCATATGTTAAAGGTCATATACTGTATTTTTCGGACTATAAGACGCATTTAAAATCCTTTTATCCTTTTTTCTAAAAAAAAAAGTGCATATAATCCAGTGCACCTTATGTATGAATTCTGGTTGTTCTTACTGACCTCAAACCGATTTTATGTGGTACACAGCACTCAAAAATCTGTCAAAAAATGTTTTAGTACTACTTTGGTAAGCTACGAAGCCGCACCGCTTGATGGATTGTTGGAGCATTACGACTACCGTTGTCAGGAGTCTCATGGAGTAATACATACTGTGCGTCAACATTATATTACCGTATTGTGTGTATAAGGACCCCCAAATGGCACCTGTTAAGAGACGTGTGGTGGCAGATTTCTTTCATCATGTATTAATCACATATTTTAATCCTATCACTTTAGTATAGCAAGAGCACTCCTTAGTTGTATGCATGTGCACTACAAGTGGGCCTTATGCTCTACACACACAGTGAGGCCATTGTAATGGGAGACTGCTTATCAGGGATGTAAATCCTTAGGTGACGGCAGAAAACAAGGTCATAATTCTCTCTGTGAGGGAGGAGGTTTTAAGAATGGGACCGAAGGTATAGTGAAATATAAGAGGCTGTGGAATGTTCTTTGTTTGAGAGTGTTCTGGGAAGGTATAAAAGAGTTCAGGGTGGTGTCCATCCTCAGAAAACTGTTTGGTGCTTGATGTGAATATTTTCTCCACATTGCAACGTGTTAATTAAACCACTTCAAATTGAGTGCACTGGGTGTGTTGCAGGTTATTGTTAAAATGTCCATAACACATGACAATACGCCTTATAATCCAGTGTGCCTTATGGTCCAAAAAATGGACAGGGATGGACCATACAGTAGTGCAATACTGCATGGTCACCTGATCAGTCACCTGATCGGTGATTGGGGAAAGAAAGGGTTTCTGATTGGTCAAAAGTCTCAAATGAACAAAGGAGGTTTCTGATTGGCCAAAATGTGCAACGAAGGAGACTTCTGTTTTTCATTCAGTCTATTGTCTTTTTTTCTTTATCAGGCGATGTTTCTAGCTCCACCTGAAGCCTCGGCTGCTGTCTGTTGTCTTCAGCATGACCCCAATGTGTTATTTATTTATTTTTACTGGTTTAGAATGACTCCACATTAAGCATTATCAGTGTATATACAATAAAAGCATCTAGTCTTTACTCCTACATTGATGAGGATTTTCCTTTGGCTCTTTTGAACCATAACCGATTGGAAAATACCCTAAAATTAACAGAAATTGAGAATGAATTGCTTTCTTTTCCTCTGTGCTATTATGATGTGCAAAGACTAGCCATAAGAGGTGTCTTTTAGGTTGCACCGATGAGACCATGTAATTGTTTTACTTTTATACTGGTAAAATGTGAAGGATTATTCATACCATTGCACTGTCGTTTACAGAAAGGCAAGAAATTAAAGGCCTACCCTGAACTCTTAACCCCCTACACAGAGCGACATTGTTGCACTGTGCCATGTTAGGGTCCACTTGTCAAAGGGAAAATAGTGGAAAATCAGTACAAAGTTGCTATGAGAGATTAACTTTGTCCGGTGACGAAGTATCTGAAGAGGGTTCACTGAAAAGTTGATTCTGAAAATGATGTGTTCATATACCGTGGCTTTCACAGTCACCAGAACTCAACCAAGACTATCTGGAGGAAATTTGACTGTCATAACAGATAGATAATAGCTCTGTTAGTGTTTCGGAATCATTTCCAGGAAACACTGAAGCTGTTGCAAGGCTTTGTGTTGTACAAATACTTCACAAAACTGTCTTTGTCACCTGCTTGTACACATTGCTTCTTTGGTTCTGGTCTGTTATGTATTTCTGTATAGTTGTGTCTTCTGAGCCTTTTGGCAGAGGATGCTATTTGTGTGTGACTTAATAAAAAACATGTCAAACATGCTTCTCTTTCTATATACTTTATATACTATATACTTTTGAATTGCTCTCTTCAGTTGGGTGTCTTCCCTGTTGCCTTTAAAACGGCAGTGGTGAGGCCCCTTCTGAAGAAGAGCAATTTGGATTGTAATGATTTTAATAACCACAGACCTGTATCCAACTTACCATTTTTAAGTAAAATCTTAGAAAAACTTGTTTTTACTCAGGGCTTTGAATGATAGACAGATCCTGGAGATATTCCAGTCTGGATTTAGGGTGAACCACAGCACAGAGACGGCTCTCCTAAAGGTTCTAATTGATCTTAGATGTAACTGGGACTCCCAAAAGCTCTCAGTCCTGGTGCTACTGGATCTAAGCGCAGCCTTTGATACAGTAGACCACGCTATTCTTTTAAACAGACTGAAACACATGGTGGGCCTCTCTGGTGCTGTACATAACTGGTTCACTTCCTATCTCTCAGACAGAACTTTTATGGTGAGTACATGCTCCTCTAAGATCCATAAAATGACATGTGGTGTGCCCCAAGGGTCGGTTTTAGGCCCTGTACTTTTAAATTTGTATATGCTCCCTCTCGGCGGTGTCATCAGGAGGCATGGAGTGAACTTTCACAGTTACGCGGATGACACTCAGCTGTACATCTCCGTGTCTCCTGATGACACCAGACCAATGGATGCCCTTTTTAACTGTATTTTAGATATAAGATCTTGGATGGCAGAAAACTTTTTACAGCTTAACCAGGACAAAACTGAAGTTTTAATCGTCGGTCCTGAGGCTCAGAGAGAGAAACTCTTGTCTAAATTAGAGGCATTTTCACTATGTCCTTCGCTACAAGTGAAAAACCTGGGTGTTATTTTTGACTCTGAGCTTGGTTTTATCCCACATATTAAACATGTAACCAAAATTGGATTTTATCATCTAAAAAATATAGCCAGAGTCCGCCCTATTCTCTCTCGGGCCAACACGGAGATGCTGATGCATGCTTTTATTACCAGTCGCATTGATTACTGTAATGCCCTGCTCTCTGGTCTTCCTAAGAAGAATATTTCAACTTTACAACTTTTGCAAAACTCGGCAGCTCGTGTGCTGACGAAGACCAGAGGGCGGGCCCACATTACACCGGTTTTAGAATCGCTGCACTGGCTCCCCGTGTGTTTCAGGATCGATTTTAAAGTTCTTTTATTGGTTTTTAAATGTCTTAATGGTCTTGGGCCTTCTTATCTCTCAGATCTGCTTTTACCATACGAACCCTCGCGGACCCTGAGGTCCTCTGGTACTGGCCTTTTGATTGTCCCTAAAGTCAGGACACATACTCACGGAGAGGCAGCTTTTCAGTGGTATGGTCCTCGTCTGTGGAACAGCCTGCCGGAGGAGCTCAGGGCCGCAGAGAACGTACATGTTTTTAAGAACAGGCTCAAGACCCACCTTTTTAATTTAGCTTTTACTTAGCGTTTATTTATTTTATGCTTATTTATTCTATCCTGTTATTCTATTATTAATTTAGACTTTACCTAATATTTATTGATTTTATTCTTATTCATTTTTTAATCTTCTTACTCTATTTATATTTATATTGTATCCTGTTCTTATTTATTTTATCGTTTTACCCTGTATATATCCTATT